GTGGAGGCGCCGCCCCGACTCGCTCGCGCTGCCAGGGCGGGGGCCGAGCGGCCGCCCCACAGCCCGGGCCTCGTGGAAAGGACCGAGCAGCCCCGCGGGAGCACTTGGGGAGTGATCAGTTCAGTTAAAAAACTGAAAACACTGTAAACTATATTTACAAATCTAAAGCATTTGCTCTTCGTTTCAACTTGAGTTGTAGGAGGTAACAAAACTTCCTAGACCCTAAATAATTCTTACACATAAACATATAAATGCAGCAAACCTAAAGTTCTCTTTAAGTTTCTGATACTGTACTAAAACCCAGGAAGATTTCAACTCACAAATCTAAATCAATTAAATATAAATTACAAAAAGGTTAAAACAATCCCTGGTATATTAAGCACTAGAGCACAAAGCTATGGGACAAACAGAGGCTTAGCTCCCGGCACCTCTTAGCTCAGAACACTCCTGCTCACACCTGGTGTCCAGGCATAAGTATTACTACTGTTCCCCAAAGTCGTGTCCCTATGCCCAGCCAGAAATTTTGGCAAGGCTGCTCCTGAGATTTGGGTGGAAAACCCTATGAACACTGTGTCTGTGGCTGAGGCCACCACAGTCTTGCCCCGAAGCAGTGGACACACACCCTGCAGTGCCACCCAGGAGTGCACTTAATTGGCCCCTGAACCATGAATAAGTCCTTCCTGCAATCCTACTGTCTGTTACCCCAGTGAATCTTTTTTTATATAACAACTTTATTGATATAATTCAGATACCATATAATCCACCCATTTAAAGTGTGCAATTCAATGGTTTTTCCTATATTCACAGATATGTACAAACAAAATGATTTTAGAACACTTTCATCACCCCAAAAAGAAACCCAAGCAACCACTAATTTACTTTCTGTTTTTGTGAATTTGCCTATTCGGGACATTCCATGTAAACAAAATGATACATGTGTGGCTTTTGTGACTGGCTTCTCTCGTTTAGCAAAATGTTTTCAAGGTTTATCTCTGTTGTAGCTTCTAGGTGGGGTTAGGGTTTTGGTTTTTTTGTTGTTGTTTTTTAAATATATCTTTATTGATTTCAGAGAGAGGAAAGGAGAGGGAGAAAGGGAGAGAGAGAAACATCAATGATGAGAGAGTCATTGATCGGCTGCCTGTTGCACGCCCCTGACTGGGGATCACACCCGCAACCCGGGCATGTGCCCTGACTGGAAATGGAACCAGTGATCTTTCAGTGCACCGGACGATGCTCCAACAAACTGAGCCACACCGGCCAATCCTTTTGCCAATTTTTAAATTGGGCTATTTGTCTTTTTATTATTGAGCGGTGAGAGTTCTTTGTATTTTCTGGATACAAGTCCTTTATCAAATGTATGGCTTGCAAATATTTTCTCCCATTCTGTGAGATGTCTTTTAATTTTCTTGATAGTGTTCTTTGAAACACAGAAGCTTTTAATTTTTCTTAAATGCAACTTATCTATTGTTGCTCATGCTTTTGGTGTCATATCTAAGAATCCATTCCCTAATTCAAAGGCATGGAGATGTACTGCTATGTCTTCTAATCATTGTAGTTTTAGCTCTTGTGCCTCCATGCACTGTTCCTGGGTGGGCAAGGGCCTCATGCAGGGGTCAGGCACATCTTTAGCACCACATGAAGCTTCACACCTGTTCTAGCTCTGTCCTCCCTGAGGATCCCCCATCCTGTGAGGCTCAGCTGTCCCTGCAAGGACAGAGGTCAGGAGGCCTGGTCCCACTCCTCCCTACCAGGGGATGGAGGGGTCACCTTGGCCACCTGTGAGTCCAGCTGCCAGGAGACTCTCCTCTCCTTGGTGAAAGGTTGAGCAGCTTAGTGCAGTGAGCACATTTGAGGGGTGGGCAGCTGTGGAAGGTCCCTGTGCCTGGGGAGCAGGTGTTTAGAGAAGTGAACCTGAGAGAAAAGAGGCCCCTCAGAGGGGCCACACCCCATTCTGGGGTCCCACCTAAGAGGTGAGGATCAGAGAGGTTGGTCTGCTCATCAGAGCCAGGGGGGCACCTTGGTCCAGGCCCTGCTACAGTGGGGAGAGAGCCCTCTCCCCCAGGGGCCCACCTGGGGTCTCAGTGCTTTCTCTGTGTCCCCCAGGTGTCTTCTTGCCCCCGTCCCCGGCCGCAGCAAATGAACCTGTCCTGGAAGAAGTGGGGATTATGGCTCTGGCGCCCCTGGCCGACATGCTAAACAGCCCACAACCCAGCCCCGCGGCAGGCCCTGTCGTGAGCCCCCTGATGGGCCCTCTCAACACACTGCTGCCCTCCCCAGGGCCCATGTCTCAGAACAGTGCACTTGCCAGCCTCCTGACTGGCCCCCTGAGCAGCCATCTAGCCAGCTCCATGGCAATGCCCTCATCGGGCACACTAGCCAGCTCTCTGGGCCTGCCCTCAACTGGTCCTCTGACTCTAAACAACCACCTGAGCGGCCCCATGGCAGTGTCCCCAGCAGGCACATTGGCCAGTTCCTTGGGCCTGCCTTCAACTGGCCCCCTGACTCCAAACAGCCAACTGAACGGCCCCATGACAGTGTCCCCAGGAAGCACATTGGCCAGCTCTCTGGGCCTGCCCTCAACTGGCCCCCTGACTCCAAACAGCCACCTGAGCGACCCCATGGCAGTGTCCCCAGCTGGCACATTGGCCAGCTCCCTGGGCCTTCCTTCTACGGGCCCCCTTACTCCAAGCAGCCCCCTCATGAGCCCCCTGCTCACTTCCACGACTGCCCCTCCAGGTGTTTCTCAGAACCTTCTGGCCAACCCCATGAGCAATCTAGCACAATCGGAGGCCCCGAGGGTGCGGCTGGCAGAGCCACTCCGCGGATACCCCTCTGGACCCCATCCCTCGACTGGCTCAGGGCCTGCTGCCACCTCCAAAGGTAACTGGTGCAGGGGGAGGGGGCCCTGTGAGGCCGGTCCTTAGTCCTGCCCAGCCCTTATATTCCTCCTCTCCTGTCTGCCCCACCTTGTCACCAGTCCCACTCTCCACCGAGCACCCCCTGCCGACTCAGGACCCCGAGTCCCTCAGCCTGACGTTCGTGGGTGGGCCCATCCAGACCTCCACTCCTGCTGGCACCGTGGGCAGGCCCAGCTCCATCACGGCCTTCTCCTACAGCACCTCAGATGCCCGGACCCAGCCGGGTGCCCACCAGGGACAAGCGGCTCCTGCCCCTGTTCCCACCACCCCAACTGCCTCCCCCACCATCCCAGTCCTCCCCTCTGCCCCTGGTCCTGCCCCCCAGGCTGCCAACAATTACAGCCCCTCAGGCACCACCCACATTGTCCACTCCCCCACCCGAGCAAACCACTCCCCAACCCGGCCTTCACCCACTCCCCACTCACCTCCACGCAACCCCCACTCCCCACCCCGAACCTCATCTTCCCCAGCTTCTGTCAACGACATCCGGGGCCCGCGGGGCCCTGAAATATCTCGGAAAAGCATTCTGGACTTGGAGCGGAAGCTGGCTCACCGCAAGACCAACAAGTTCCCTGACAGCCCCCGAGGTCAGTGTTGTAATGGGGTTTACTCCTGTCTGGGGGCTCCTGCTGCCTTCGGAAACCCCCACCCAGGCACCGGCATGGGCTTCGGACCGCACCACTGCCCACTCCCTCCACCCCTTGCTGTCCTCAGAGCCGAAACAGCTGGCCTTGGAGAGGTTGGTGGGGGAGATCGCCTTCCAGCTAGACCGTAGGATCCTGTCCAGCATTTTCCCAGAGCGCGTGCGCCTCTATGGCTTCACTGTCTCCAACATTCCCGAGAAGATCATCCAGGTGTGTAGTGCCTGTCTCCCACTCACAGCCAGAGGGCCTGCCTCTGGCTGGAATGGGGAGCATGTTGGCCCTTGAGGGATCACTGGGGGGCCCTGTACTCCAGCCAGGTAAGCACAGTGTAATTCAAGGGCACCCTGGAATGGAGGAAGCACTGTGCTCAGTTCAAGTATCCAGCAGTGTCCAGAGCATCTAACAGCAGGAGCCTGTGGTCCCAGCTGCACAGACTCCCCAGAGAACAGGGCAGGGAGTGTCTGAGCATGGTCAGGTCTGGGCTTTCCCCCTTTGCCACTGCAATGGCCTCCCAGGGGCCCTCCCCAGACTGGAAGGGGGTGTACATGTGGGCTTCGTTTGGGAAATGGCTCTCTGTGCTCCTGGCCACCTCTCCTAGGCCATCTCTGTCTGTGCACCATAGTCCTGGGTGCGTGATTGGGCAGGAATAACTTTGGTCACAGTGTGTTTGCAGTGCCCAGGTTTGAGCTTGTCTTTTCCTTTTGTTAAGGTGCCTTTGGTCTTTAATTTCAATGTGGTCGGAATTATCCACCTCATCCTTTAGTATCTGTACTGTCCATGTCTTGCTTAAGGCTGGAGGGTGGGTGGCAGAGGTGAGCTGCCAGTCCCTTCTCCCAGTCCCATGGTGGGGGGCATCCCTGGCTCCCTGCTGTCCTCATCACAGGAGGGTGACCGAAACTGTGCATCTCTCTTCTTCCAGATTTTCTTGGCTCCTCTTGGCCCTTCATTCTTCAATATGAATTTCAGGATTAGTCCATCAAATTCCAGGAAAAGCCTAGTTCACATTTTTAGTTTCGCCTTGATCTATAGATTAAATGGGAGAAGTTGTGCATCTTTACCATGTTGGTTATTCCTACACACCTGTCATTTCTGCTGCTCGCATCACTGGGCCACTTTGGTCATGTTTGGTTTGACCACCCTTGACTTTTGTCCAGGACCACTGAGGCCTCTACTGTGTCACGAGTGCAGATTGGCCATGGCTGTTTAAAAATCAGCAGATAACGTGGTAGAAGCATAATATTTATTTATATCTCTAAAATGCTGCATGTGATATCTAGTTGGCAAGGACACATCTATTTATAAGCATAAGTCTAGTCCATATAAAAAGTATATATTAATATCTCCATGTAAAGAAATTTCCTATTGTTTGAAAATACCCCTTTCAATGGAAGAAGATGAAAGCATAGCACCCTTCAATGGGGGACTTTGCTGTGCAAGTCTTGTGTTCCCGGGTCCTCTGTGAATTATTGTTTATGCTGTAGAATTTAAGTTACAGCACTAGGTGGCAACTCTTTAAAGAAGAGGCCAGAAGAGGAAAGCAGAATGTATGTAAGGCTCATCACCTCCTGAGCCAGTGCTTCCGCCACCATGTTGGCGACTTCTGGGAAGCCTGTGGCAGTTACCACAATCCTCATCTGGTCGTTCTGCCCAACCGCTACCATTAGCAATTCCAGAGGCATTGGCCCCATTCACCTTCCATCAGCAATGACAGGCACTGCCAGGATCAAACGCTTGTGCCCAAGCTCCTGAGAGGCAGCTTCACTGGAGCCCATGTGCACAGAACCTGCCTTTGAGACCCGGGCACACACCCCTGGGCCAACCCTTTGCAGGCCTACTGCAGGGTGACTGACATCTGGTCATATCTGAGGATCATAAATATGCATCCTGGTGTCAGGGCTGCCCTGCCTGCTCAGCTGGACCATTTGTTGGTTTCTATCTGCCTCTGATTCCACTTTGCCAAGCCTTTTGTTTCCCTTCATCGGAATATCTGCTTTCTCTGCATGTTGATCCCCAATGCTGGTGGTTGCTAGATTTTTTTTTTAATATATCTTTATTGATTTCAGAGAGAAGAAGGGAAAGGGAGAGAGAGAGAAACATCAATGATGAGAGAGTCATCATTGATCGGCTGCCTCCTGCACGCCCCCGAATGGGGATTAAGCCCACAACCTGGGCATGTGCCCTGACCGGGAATCGAACTATGCTCTCCTGGATCCTAGGTCGATGCTCAACCACTGAGCCACACCCTGCTGGGCAAGATTCTTGAAATTATATGCAGACTCACTGAACCTGGTTAGGCCCAATCCTGTACAAGCCAGGGTTTTGACTTCACAAATGCTCTAAGCTTTAATAGAGCCCTATTCTCAATAAGGACTCATTAACTGTTTTTTGTTGTTTTTTTTACTTTACTTGGTTTTATTTCTTTTACTTTTTTATTGAATTTCTTGAAGTGACATTGGTTAATAAAATGATGTAGGTTTTAGGTGTACAAGTCTATAATACATCATCTGCACATTATATTGTGTGTTCACCACCCCAAGTCTCTTGACACCGTTTATCCCCCCTATACCCTCTTCGATGTCACCCACCCAGGACTTAATGACTTTTATCTCTAAACCTAGCAGTCTTTTTGTATAAGTTTGAAGATAGTTATCCACATTTTAAGCCCAGCTAAAAATTGTCCCAGTGTTCATGCCTGTCACCACTTCTACCCAATTGCAAAGGTTTTCTGCCCTATGGGGGATGCTCTGAGCTCCTTTCCTTTGACACCGTACTCCTAGGAGACCCTGAGTCCAGCTGCATTGGTGAGGGTAACTGAGGGTGGTACCCTATGTCCAGCTGGGCCCATGGTGCTCCCTGATGCTCTCCAGAGTCCCACTCACTGGCCTGCCAAAAATGTTTTTTATTTTTGTGTAATGATTTGTTATCCAACTACCTTACCAAACCCTCTTACTAGTTTTCATAGCTTCCATATTACCATCTTGGCTTTCTATGCAGATGATCATATTGTACAGTATTTAAGAGAAGCAGATAATATGGCAACCTCATCCTGTTTCTGACTTGACTAGGGACATGCACTTCAAGTCTTCCCGTGAAGTATGATGTGTGGTCCAGGCTTTTTGCCAGATGTGTCAGTTCTTGGTTACAGATAACAGAATCCACTTGAGCTGATGTAAGCAGAAAGGGGTTTATTATGAACGTTTGCATCGTCCCAGAAGCTCCAGGGAGGATAAAATGTTGGGCTCCTTTGCTATACAACCAGTAAAAATGCCAGCACACCAAGGACTTTCCTAGTAGACACACCATGGCAGAAACCCAGGTCACAGGGGAGTCTAGAAAAGGTGATTTTTAGCTTCCAGCTCCTTAGAGTTAAGGAGGGCACTAGAACAGAAACCAGGTGAGCCAGGTTCATTATCTGCCACATCAGATTAAGAAATTTTCCCTCTTCGTCATTTGTTGAGGGTTTTTTTCTTAATCATGAACAAATACTGAATTTTTTAGAATGTTTTTCTGTCTCTGATGAGATGATCCCATGATTTTCCCCCTCTCCCTTTTTTCTTAACATATAAAAATGTGAGAGAAGATATTCTGATCATAAATCACAACAGTCCCTGGTGTTTTTAAATGCACTGGGATGCTGTTTGCTGTTATTTATGACTTCTAGCTTCAGAGACCTGTGCCAAGCTGCTGTGACAAAAACGCAGGGGCTTCATTAAGCCAGATACTTATCTCTCCACTGGGTCCTTGGGCCCTGCTACCCACCCTGTGGCCTGTGGCACCTGTCAGAGTCAAAAGGTCCTGCAATGGGGCACAGGGGCGGAGCTCACAGTCCTAGTCTCATCCCATTGGCTCAAACTTAGTGACATAAGGGCTTGCAGCAGGCT